GCAACATAAAGAGGACATGACACATAAACAGAGAGAGAGGATTACCATTAACATAAACTGCTGCTTGTAAGAACTTGAGACACTTTTCAGCACCAGTGGGCAGCCATTCCATGGGCATGGCATCATACAATACTGACATCTTGTGAATTGGACTTGAAATAGTGTTATTAGCAGTGCTGGAAGCCTCATCTTCATACTTCATCATCTTATGCATTAACTGTACTACCTTGTGGAGTATACCCTCATTGGAGAGTGTCATAACTAGCTGGAGGTTGTTGCTTATGGTAGCAATAGCAACATCAAGAGGATTGGTACTATTGCTTGCTACCTGATCTAAGAAAAGAAAATAAAAAAATAATTATTATCATTTATATTCTATTATTTTCAAACAACAGTGCTAATAAGAAAAAAGTTTATTTATTTATAACTATTATCTATTAGTCTTGGCTTACCAGAGAATATTAGACATTCGTCCAAGAGATACTGAAGATGCTCAGAGAGTGCAATTTGATTCTGATGACTAGTCTGAGCAAAGGAGCAAAGGAATTTGCAGCAGTCTTCAACTATATCAGCAAACCCTTCCTACAATTAAAAATAAAAATAACAACAATAATAATAATAGTAGTAGTAGTAGTAGTAGTAGTAGTAGTAGTAGTAGATCTAATAAGAAATTTATTGTAAATAATTATGCATGTAAATTTAATTAAAAAACTAACAATAATTAGAGTGACTACTTACATCACTGACAGCTAGTTTAAGTGTCTGAGTCATGCCAACAAACCCACTGCTGCTCTCAGTGCCAAATGATGAGGGGAACCCACTGGAGAGAGTCTCACTGAAGCTGAAGTAGCTCTTCATGACATTGATGACAAGACTGTGGACTCCGGCAAACCTCAACAAGTCAGGATGACGTTGGAAGAGATCACAAGTACTCAATTCCCTAGCAAGGAAAATGCAAGAGTTAAAAAATAATTATTACAATAAAAATGTGACTTATTATTAACGTATTATGATACATAAAATCTTAACTTCATTGTAAAGATAAACTTACTGCAACAGCTCCTGGAAAACAGGCTCCTCCTCTTCGCCAAACCCAACCACAAGCATCTTCCTCATCTTACCCAGTGCAGATCGGAATTTCAAAATCTCGCCAGAAGAGAACTCACTGTACTGCTCAACAATGTAGGTCCTCTGGATAGCTTTCCGGAGCATCTCAGACTCATTGAACTGTCTGTACAAGAGTTTGTAGGTTTTCTCTGCCATTTTAATATCAGAGATTGTGCTCCTGGACCATCTGAGGACAGTCGATATGATGACATCTCTCAGTTTGTGAAGACTAGAGGCATTGGGACTATTCTCGCTTTCACTGGAGCTGCTCCTAACAGTAACCAAACTGACCAGTTTGGCTAGTTTTTGAAATGATGATAAGTCTGTCGTCTGATTGAGGGACGATGGGATTCCATTGCAGTGTGAGCTGAGGTCAGCGTGAAATGATTGGAGGGAGTCTTTAAGAGATTCACTAGTGAGGCACGAGTCTGATGAAAATGACAAAAGAGTGTTTAACTAAAAAAAGACAAAGAAAATGGATAAGTCTTTTTACTACTTCTAACTAGTATATACCTGTTTTTCCGTTGGAGTATTAATCTCTTGTATTACTAGAG